GGGGTTCAATACTGTTTATCATCACAGAGATTATCTGAGCATCTTCTTTTTCCCATGCATCAAAGGAAGTATCAGTTGCTTTGAGTTTCTCTTTAGTCAAATGAGAACCAAGACCTCTGCCTTTGAGAAAAATGGCAACAGATTTGGCCCACAATATGTAATTCTTCCCATTGAGCTTAACTGAAGTCATGGGAGAATTAAGACTGTTCGTGGGTGAAAGCAAATCTGAACTTGAACTTGAACTTGAGGCCATGTTGAATCCAACAAAAACAGAGAAGAAAAAAGGAGAGAAAACAAAATTTCTGTATTCTAGCCGAACCTGGAAGCAGGTCTGTAACGGGTCGGATTCTGGTACGGGTCGGATCTTGGAACCGGACCGGATCTGGACTATCCCTGGTTTAATAAACCGGGATTGGAATAGCACAACCGTGTTGCCAAACACGAGTCTTCTTCTTCACTCTGTCACAAACTCCGGTAAACAATACGGCGGAGGCGATGGCAACCCAACCACGAGCAGCGGCCGAATCAACTTCCGGCCGAAAACCAATCTCACCTCTGCAAATCGAGACGAAGAAGCTTCTACCGGCGACGACGAAGAAGCTTCTGCCGGCGACGACGAAGAAGCCAGAGACGACGACCACCAAAGAGGAGCTGCCGGTGACGATGAAGAAGGCAGAAACGACGAACACACTTCAGATCTGATTACGGTGAACAATAAATTGCCGACAAAGACATCAAAACCACATTCACGATCTGAATCACGATTTGAATCACGATTGGAATCGTGATTCACCACCAACCCACCTACTAACTCTCACACTCATGATCATTGTGCTCTGATACCATGTTCTTAATCAAGAGAGAAACAGAGAGAGCAAAATCGTATTCTCTTTGTATATATAAACAACTTACTAAACCTAATAAGCCTATGTAGGCTTATATATGTTACAAGGTTTATATAATAATACAAACAGCCTATTAACTAAACATAATTACATAACGACCCACTATTATATATATATAACTTCTAACAGTCATCATAAAAAAGGGGGAGATTGTTGACCTTAAGGATTCCCATCCAAGGACAATCTAGAGATTTTGATGATAACAAACCATTAATGGTGTTTAAGGACTAATGTTTACATTGAGTGCTATATAATTCAAAGAATGACCTCAATGAAGCACTAAAGATCATTCCAAGTATTCCATTATTTAATATCACATCAAGGAAAAAAATGAATACAAAGAAGACTTGAAGTTGCAAAGAAATATAGCTTGGATTACAACGAGGAAGAAAGCAACTCAAAGGAAGAAAGCAAGAATACCTCAAAGCCTAGAGATCATGGACAAAGCTTGAAGAAATGGGTAGATAGGATGGTGAGTGTTTAGGATTCAATGTCAAAGTATTTATGAATCCATTTGAAGCTCATCTCTATAGGACCATGCATATCATATCATCACCCATATGTTCCTATATCCATTAGCAATAGATTATGCACTTCATCACATATATATTTGCATATGAAGTCAATGCTAGAGAATGAGTTAGTTTAAGCTTGCTTAAGCTTTGAAAGAACTCATCACTTGTGCTAGAAATGCTAAGACCATGGAAATCAATCACATGATTCATATTGGTCAACGATTAAGGCATATGAAGCCTTCATTACCATGAGTTGGTAACGGACATTAGGACCTCATGAAAAACTGTGTTTTTAGCTAAGTCTGAAAAATGGATTTTTGAAGAAAACATTTTTTCAAGATAATTTTTCCCGATAATTACTCCTTACACTTCAAATAGCCTAAACTAATTTTATGAGAATTTATGACCAATTCTACATTAGTCTACATACGGATTCATTTTTACCAAAACTGTCGGAAATCCAAATTTGTACTAAAACTGAATTTCTACATTTTGATTTAGTTGGATTTCAATTTTCTTAAATTTTTTATTGAATCCAAATGAGGGATACTTCCTTATTTACATTCTAAACATTTAAGTAAATGTCTTTACAGTAAATGGACATATAAATACTAAATACTGTAAAGACATTTACTTAAATGTTTAGAATGAAAATAAGGTATGTGCAGATGTCCTGTAGAAAAACTATGTAATTTGTTAACTTAGATCATTTTTCTGAAGTAGCAGTTTTTCTTAAGTAGCAGTTTCATTTCGGCAAACCGAAATGTATAGGCAAAATGTACCGGACGATCAGTTACTAACTAAATTTGGGCAGTAGCCATGCTAGTTTGAAAGTCACAATCGGCAGACCGGTTTGTCATTTCGGACGACCAAAATGGGGCATTCGGCAAACCTTATTTCATTTCGGTCGACCGATGTAAGTCCAATTCAAATGCAAACGGCTATTTTGCATCGAGCCCCGTGCACAACAGCTATATTTTTTAATTAGCTGCATCAGAACTCTTCGGGGTTTAGTGTTGCTACCATAAAGAAACATCATCTAGAATCCAAAGAGCTTTTGTTCTTGTATTCATACATCTCATATCATTCATAGAGTATTAAGCTTCAATATATTCATTTATACTCTAGTTGTGAGCTAATTTTTGCATATCAATCTTTGAGAGATATATCTGTATGCAACAAATCTGATCTTCATTTGTAAGGGCTGGTGTGGCCCAAGGAAGAAGAAACAAGCTAGCTTCAATTTGTAAGGGTTGGTGTGACCAAAAGGAAGACTAAGGGAAGGTTGTTCTCTTAGCAAGGTGAAGCAAGGAATTACTTCATGTAAAAGTTTGCTCTCCACCCGTAAAGAGGTCCACTAGTGGATTGAGAAGTCTTAAGAGGGGTCTTGAGCCAAGGAGTAGGAGTTCCCGAACCTCGCTAAAATCTCCGTGTGAATGTTTGCAATCTCTCTTCCGTTATCTCCTTTACATTTATGTTATTAATTGCTTATGTCTATATATTGATTATTGCATAATTCTTCGAAGGTCTTTAGTAAAATTTGCAAAACTTCAGCCCCCCCCCCAACACAAGTCAATACTTGGGTAACACACAGGCTGAGAAAGTAGGACTCAGGGAGCTTCTTCACCTCAATATGTAACTACTTCGAGATATCCAAACATTTCATTAGGGCTTTAAATGGAGCGGGTAAAGATCCATCACAGATTTGAGTTGGATATGGATCTAGATAATCCTTAAATGAATCAGGTTTTACCCAACAGTCGACCTAGATCAAGTATATTTTACTCCATTTGGATCTGTTTATAAATTATATGGGTCATATATGGATTCTATCCCAAAAAGTCGATTCAAAACCAGATTATCTATAGATCCTACTGGCAATTTAATATAGATCTGGATCTGAATTCACATGTATTCGTTCCATTTTGAGTCCTACATGTCATAATCCTTCTGAACAATTATTCTCAAGGCCCACTTTGTTGTATTCAAACATGCCATAGGCCTACACAATGCTAATAGTAATTGCCTTGGTGTGTGATATGAACTTCCCTCAAGGTCTGCACACACCTCAAACTGATCTAGAGTAATCACATGACTCTTGAATGATATATAACCTATATGATGTGGTAACACCTATTGGATTAGTGCCATCCTGTCACTGCACTGCCACCTGTATGCACCACATTAACACCTCTGTAGCCATAATGCTGCACAATTGCTGCTTCTATTAAAGTTGCAGTGCCCATGGTGGAGTCCCACAGGGCTGTAGTAGGGACACTAGACACATAACATGACCTTATTAGCAACCTATATTGACATGAGAACCACCTTGCCCTCACCCATTATAAATAGAAGACCTTAGGACCTAAACAATTAGCAACCTTTGAAGAGCCTCAGAAACACTAGATTAGACCTTGATCTCTCTAGGATTGGACTGACCTCAGGCAAAACCCAATTCCCAAGGAATTTGTGGTTGCTTTGGCTCTCTCTCTCTCTCTCTCTCTCATACACACACATTTTTTAAATTGTCAGAAAAGATGATGGGGGAGAAATACATGGTTACTCTGCTTTTTCAGAAAAGGGTTAGGTTTTACTAAATGGAAGTTAAAGACATGACTGAAGGTTACATGAACCACTGTCAATATGTGCCTTGGTCAAAACATGGCACTCAGTTCTGTGTACTACCTACAACTCATTAAAATCTATTTTAGCAAGTGTAATATGAAAACAAATTAGGCTCTTCAAGCAAAATAAGGACCAACTCAAATACCACCTTCTATATGTGCCTTTGTAAAAACATGGCACTCTAGTTCTGTGTCCTACAAATCATTGGAATCTATTTTGTAAAGTATAATACGAAAACAAATTATGCTCTTTCAGTGAAATAAGGGTTAACTCAAATTTTATCATTATAAACACAGATTATGGCAAAATACTCAAAAGTCAGAAAACCCTTTACAGTGAAGAGGAGCACAAAGTTGCATGAATGAGTTTTCCCTATTACTATTCTAGAAGTTCCTAAATTTTCCTTTCTTCAAGTCTTTCCTTCTCTCCAACACAACTTGAATGGAATATGGAGCATGATTTACTGGCTCTCTTTGTAATATACAATATTCTTAATTCTCCTGCAAACCCTTCTTTCCCTCCTTTCTCTTTTCCCACCTAGTTTATACTGACAATGGAGCAGGAAATTGCAGTAATGACTAGTAGAGATGCTCAAAGTAAAAATAAATAAATAATAATAATATAAAAAAATCCAACCTTTCTCTCCATCCAATTTTTTCCTCTTTGCCTCCTAATTGTTCGTTCTCTCATCACAATAACCAGTAAAATCCTTTAATTGGGCATAATATCAGTTCATAAGGAAAAAAAAAAAAAAAAAATGCACCTCTAACAATCAGTTATTTGAATTAACCTGACAATTACGATTTTCTAACCATTAAAGTTACAATGAATACTGAAAATGTATACACAATAAGCAGTGTTGTTTGTTTGCATCTCCTTGGTTTACAGATCATGCCCATGCAACATATGACATAAGAATTTCACTTTATGGTCATAAAACAAAGCTTGGTCAAACCTGTGTGCCAAGTGCTTTCAGTAACTCTCCACGTTCCTTTTCAATTTTAGCACGAGCCATGCTATAACTTAGTGCAGCTTTGGATAATGTACTACCACTGGTGCAAGTAATTTTAGCACCATATTTCCTGCTGTCTTCTGACAGCTTGGTACCTGTGGAAGAAATGACAAGTACAAAAAACTGACTAATGATATTAAATACCATGAAAGAACAACAAAATCTTTAAAATTTACCTATTTCAACTTGCTTAAATCCAGTAACAATATAACCTTCAACACCTCGGGTGACTTCTCTCTGGAAGTGCTGGAAATCAAGAAGACATACATATGAGGAAAGAAACACAAGATAGAGGTATATACAAACAAGAAATGATGGCAACCTTGCCGGCACGGGTAGATATGTAAAGCTTCTCAAGTTTCTGATGCTGCTGCAATTCTACTTCATCGGTTACTACTTTATCTGAACCTCCAAGTTCACTAGCATACTGCTTGAAGACAGCCTAGCAATATTATGCAAAAATAAAAGAATAAAAGAAAGAAAGGAAAGAAAAGAAAAAAGTTTGGTAAGGCCGCAGTAAGATTCGAGACTCAGTTCATGAAACAAAATTCTAATCATAAACAAGCGGCTTGTGAAAATATATTACACAGATACTAAAGCAAACCCATGTAAAAGAAATCAAACAAAACCTACAAAATAAATAAATAAAAGGATCTTCAGATAATCCTTCATGAACTTCAAAACATCACCATAAAGCAATCGGAGATGATCCTCACAATAATCTTAAACTGACAAGTGGTCAACAACAATCCAAATGTTACTATAAAATTATAATTTAATAGAGGAACAAATCCTCTTAATGTCTGCAAAGAAGCCCTTTCTGCACTTCATGTTTTCTTCCTTATCAATATTTGCCTTATTTTCAGGTAAGCAGAAAGAATAATGATGCATTGTGAAACTTATTTCAGATTAAAATTATCAGTATTCTCTATAGATTAAGGTAAGTGAACTATTCAGCTCAGCGACCTAACTGATCATCTGAAATGTCTAAAATACAGATCTAACCTAAGAAGCACGGACACTCCAAAATGGGCGAAGAATCCGTGTCCGACACGTGTCGGACACGGACACGCGTCGGACACGCCCCGACACGTGTCGGACACGCCAAAAAATGTGTTTGGAATTTTTTTATTTTTTTTTATTTTCGGACACGGCTTGGACACGGCTCGGACACGGCTTGGACACGGCACAGACACGGCTCAGACAGCTCGGACACGGCTCGGACACGGCTCAGACACGGCTCGGACACGGCTCGGACACGGCTCGGACACACTTTTCTGGATTTTTTTTTTTTTTTTTTTAATTTTTAATGCTGATATGTTAATTTTTTTTTTTGTACTACCCTAAAGATGGTGATATATATATATACTAACCTAAAGATGCCACAATTCGCCGTGTCCGTGTCCTAAAGATGCTAATATATATATATACTAACATATCAGTGATATATATATATATATTCCAACCTAAACATATCAGTGTTTTTTTTTTTAAATTATTAATGCTGATATATATATATATATATATACATATATACTATTCGCCGTGTCCGTGTCCTAATTTTTTTGGATTTGCCGTGTCGCTGTGTCCGTGTCGTGTCGTATCCGTGTCCCGTATCCGTGTCCATGCTTCTTAGGATCTAACAAACCAGTCTTACTGAAACTAATTGAACTCGATATAAGTGAAAAGTTAGAACTGGAAAATAAATTTAAATGAAATAGAGAAAGGTGACATGGAGGCCTCAGAAATGGACTTTATTATTGTAACATTATCGTAATTTGGCAATAATGGTTGTAAAATGGCATACCTGTTATCCATCTTGAAATTAATTACAGACTAGAGCAATAGAGAGTAGAGACTATAGAAAAATTCTTTTTGGTTCCAATAGTAATATGGTATTCATAGCATTAAATGATGCTGCCACCCGTATATGAAGCACATGCCCAGCAAACCAAGAGACGTGAAGCACAATACACAAATTAAAAATATGGAAAGAAAGATCAGTTCTATAGCCAATAACGTGGTTAGCTTGGTTTTCTCAAGTAATTGAATTTCTTTTTGGTTAGCTAAATACTCACACAAATACCCTCAAGGGCCCACTATGGGGCTCGAACCCCCTCAGCTCCCCTTTAAGGGAGGAGAGGTTATACCAGCCGGGCTAATGGCCCAGTGGTAAAAATAAATGCAAACGCATTCTATGATTTGGCTTCGCATACATGTTGTATATGTGACCATCTTGTAAATTGGTCTAACAAATTTCTTCCAATCAAAATAGACCAGTATCCACAGAATATTATGGGGAACTATCAACTATGTGAAGTTTAGTTAGTGAAGTATAGTCTGGCCACTAAAGTTGCCAAATGGCTGTTAAAATAAATCATGTATGTTACATGACTTAGTAAACCATAATGCATGCATTTTAAGAGTGTTGAAACTTGAAAGATAACAAAAGAAGAGCTTGGCTTAGTACATCACTTAACATTGTATTCAAGTCCACAAGCACAATCCAGCATCTAGAGATATAGGGACCAAAAAAAAAAAACAAGGCGACTGAACTCTGACTTAGGCATGAGTAAGAAGTTGTGCATTTGAGCTCTTTAAACTTTACCACCATCAAACAGGAGAGAGCTCATGGCAGAACCATAAAAAGGGGTTCCAATTGAATGCTATGTGTATAAAAAAATGTTACATGGACTTGCTGAAGACGATATCACGTGGGCATAGGTATGGCCATCCAGGTTATGCATCAGAAATGCCTAATGCTTGAGATAATGAACAGCAGTGACATTCCTAAGTCAGTCAAGTAAGATCTTCCTAATATGTTCCACTATTACATGGATGGTTTAAAACAAATGAAGAAAATATGCCAAACATGTTATTTTACATCGAAGCAAAGAGAAATTTCACACTTATAACTAGAAGATTAAATGAATGAGACACATCAATGCACATGTGCACCAGGAACAAGGAACCAAGTCCATGTAATATGGATTTTTGTTGGTCCCCATGTCAATTCAGAGACAATTGAGAAGCTTGGCTGAACCTCCAATATTTGGCACAAACAATACCCTTCAACTTGTCGTTCCAAAAATTATATATATATATATATATTCCCTAGTTAAGATTCACACACACTGCCTCCACTAAGGTTCGAACCCCTGACCTCCCTTTGGGAAGTAGGAGCCTTGTACCGCTAGGCCACAGGCTTGTTGGTCAAAAAAATAAAAAATAAAAAAAATAATAATAATATTTAGAATCTGCCTATAGACAAAGCAAGGGCAGGGTTGGCCAAAACCCAGTCCACTTTGCATACTTAACAATAGTAGAGCCATGCATGTGAAAGTCACATCAAAGAGCCAAAATTGCACCAGTAACGCAACCCACCTACCCCCAAACCCAAATCCAAAAGTAGGTTCTGACCTTATCTGAATCCATTAATGAGTGACAAAAATGTAAAGTGAAATGCGATCAAGAATTTATGAAAAGTTTTCAACAACAAAAAATTTGATAAGATATAGGACTCTCTCTGCTTAAGGTCCAATCATGGTTTATACACATTTGTCTGCTCAGTCCTTGTTTATGTTTCCAACACTTTTATTCCATGTATAAGAACAATCCAATCTGGTGCTGAGAGCGTTACAATCCATAATCCAAGTCACTCCCATTTCACTAAATTCATAGGGGATCAAACCCCCTTCAGCAAAACTTTAACTTTATCCTAAAATAAAGATAACACAAGTCCAAATTCTATTCATGAAACAAAAATAATAAAGAATAACTGCTCACATATATGCATGAATAAAAAAACTGCCACCACTATGATTTTACTAAACCCCAGACAGAGCAAAGCATCAATAAGAATTATAATAGTATAATTCTTTAAGAAGTTGGAATGTAGAAAATGTAGTCTAATTGGTAACAAAATAAAAAAAATAATAATAACAAAAAGAAAAAAGCTCGAAATTTCAGAGGCATCATGAAAACAAAGAAAGCAATTATTCAAAACAACAGAAAATAATGTATTATACAGATGTGGCGAGTCAAATTAGGGTTTGTTCGTAGAGAGAGAAAGAGAAAGAGAAAGAAGAGAACACCTGTTGTTGCTTAGCGACTTGTTCTCTGAGCTTTGTTGCTTGTTTTCTGATTGTGTCCATTTTATTTACAGGAGTTTAAGGTCGGAGTTCCAGTCTCGGACTGGCTGGTAAAGAGAGAAGAGAGAGTACCTTCAGGTTTCAAGTTCGAAATTTATTGGAAAATATGGGTTTTGAATTTGGTTAAACGTTTTAGTGAATAAAGTTCAACTTTGAAATACAAAGCTCCATTCAACAAAATCTTCTCCTCATTGTCAAAACAAAATCTTTGGGCCCTTTGGGCCTTGTTTGGATGACTTTGGGCCTATATTTTTGTTATTCTTCAGCAAAAGCTTAAACCCAATGTAATTATTACCACTTCAAAGAAAAAAATGCCTTACAAGCACAACACTTCAGGTTAAGTGTTATACCCTTCTAGACCCTTTTTAATGATTAATTGTGACCCGCTCATAACTCAGAAATGGGTAACATGGGCCGAGATCCTAATTTCGCAATTTGTTTGAAATTAACTCAATCAAGTAGGCTAATTTGATGGATTACAATTCAAATTAATATTTTGAATTCTTTTACTCGGTTTAATGAGTGGGTATGAGTTTCCAATGATTATCGGAATCAAAACCAAGGCACCGAAAACCAAAATTGACGTTCCATTCGGAATCAATTCCACGATCAAATGGTGAAAATAATTTAAAATATTCGTGAATGATTAAATTTCACCTTGAATTTTTGAGTCTTTGGGACTCCTTAATGCTAAGTAGAATCGAAATTTGGGTATGGGAAAGCCATAATAGTAGGAAGAAATGACTGATTTGATAACCTCCACCCTACTGGCCATTGAGAGATTTTAAGAATGTTAGAAATAGTGGCTTAGATACACACAATATTATAATATTTAGAAGAAAATAAAATGGAGGAAAATACTTTTATTATACTTGATTGAAAATGGGTAAAATATATGAGATTAAAGGCTTCAAAACATATATATAACAACTACATGAAAATAAAAATTAACAGCCACTAACATAACATTTAGTAGGCATAACTCTCACTAACATGACCATTACTAGTTGTAACTCTTATGTCTCCCACTAACTCCAATAACTCACATAAACATAAAATTAAACACCAAATAAAAAATACTCATGACCTTCAAAGACATTAAAAAATTATAATCAAGTTTAATTTCTAACACCCCCCTTAAACTTGTTTTTTTTTTCAACTCCAAGCAAACTCCTTAACTTGTGAAATTCTGCAAACTTGAGGGGCTTCGTGAAAATATCCGTAACTTGATCTTGTGACTTGATGAACTTAAGCTCCACCTCTTTCTTGGTTATGCATTCTCTAATGAAAGGAAATCTTGTATCAGTATATTTGCTTCGTTCATGAAACACTAGATTCTTGGCCAAAGCAATTGTTGATTTGTTGTCCACAAAAATCTCCATTGACTCTTCTTGTAGCATGTGTAATTCCTTCAACAAATTCCTCAACCAAATTGCTTGACAAACACATGAAGTGGCTACAACATATTCCGCTTCACAAGTTGAGAGGGTGACAATGGGTTGCTTCTTTGAACACCATGTAAAAGCAGTTTTTCCCATGAAAAAACAATAGCTAGAAATACTTTTTTTATCATCCAAATCTCCGGCGAATCGCTATCACAATAACCCACAAGCTTGAAATCATTAGAAAATGAATAGAATAACCCAAAATCAAGTGTACCTTTCAATGTAACGAAGAATCCTCTAAGCCGCCTTGAAATGAGTTATGGTGGGTCTTTCTATAAACTGACTAACAAGCCCAACTGCGAATAATATGCCCTACCTTGTGCATGTTAAGTATCTCAAGCTTCCAACAAGACTTTTGAAAAATGTTGGATCCACCGTCTCTCCGTCTTCATCTCTTAACAATTTAATTCCAACCTCCATGGGCGTGTTCACCAATTTACAATCATGCATCTTGAATTTCTTGAGAATTTCCTTAGTATAGCCTTCTTGGTGAATGAAAATTCCTTCCAATAAGCCATGATGCCAATGTCTGTCATCTCAAACTCTCGAGCCATAACCTTCTTGAAATCTTCAAACATTTTTGGATTGATACCTGTAAAGATTAAATCATCACATACAAGCAAACAAAAAACATATCTCCGTTCTCACTTACTTTGGTATAAAGAGCATGTTTATATGGGCACTTTATAAAATTGTTGTCTTGAAAATATTTGTCAATCTGCTTATTCCACACCCTTGGTGCTTACTTCAAGCCATATAAATTCTTATTCAATTTCAAGACTTTATTTTCTTACCCCTTTACAACATAACCCATGGGTTATTGAACATACACCTCTTCTTTAAGAAACCCATTCAAGAAAGCTGATTTCACATCCATTTGGTGGATTCTCCAATTGTTTTTGGCTGCCAAATAAATTAACAATCTAATTGTTTCCAAATGAGTTACAGGTGCAAATACCTCATCATAGTCAATTTTGGACTTTTGGTTGTACCCCTTGGCGACCAATCTTAATTTATATTTTTCAACTTCACCATTTGCATACACCCGTGTGACATCAATTGCTTGTTGCCCTTTTTGAAGTGTAGTAAGCTCCCATGTATCATTCTTCTCTATAGATTTAATTTCTTCTTCCATAACATTTCTCCATTTTTTGTCTTGCGCCGCTTCTTCAAATCCTACGTGTTCACAATTCACAAAGAGACAAAAAAGTGTTAGATCACCTAACATTTCCATTACCTCTTCTGTTTCGTTATATATGTCACGACGACTCCTCATGCAAGGTGGTGGTGTGTCATTTGAACTTGATGATGATGGAGTTGATTGATCATGAATTGATGGTGGTGGAGGTGATGTTGGTGGAGAAATGGGCTGCTCCACGCCTTCATTTTCTTGCTCCTCATTCGAAATTGGAAAAATTTTATAATCTTCATTTGGAGTGTTCTAATCCCATGTAACTTCCTCTTCGAATTCAACATCTCTACTAATGACAATCTTCCCATTGCTTGGATTATACAACTTGTAACCTTTGGAACTTGCATCATGGCTAATGTACACAATTTTTTCACTTGTATTGTCTAACTTGGTCCTTCTTTCATCCGGCACGTGCACATGGGCAATGCTCCCAAAAACTCGCAAATAAGAGACACTTGACTTTCTTCCACTCCATGTTTCTTATGGTGTTTTGTTTTGCACACTTCTAATAGGACACCGGTTGGATAAGTACACCGCACAATCAATGGCTTCGGCCCAAAATTCTTTAGGCATTGCCTTACTTTTCAATATGCTTCGAGCTATATTAAGAATGGTTTTGTTCTTCCTTTATGCAATTCCATTTTGTTAGGGCAATCTCGAAACCATTAAAGGATGGTGAATTCCATTTTCATCACAAATTTTTTTTTGAAATTATTTGATGTGAATTCACCACCTCTATTGGATCAAAGAGCCTTTACATCATAGCCACTTTGTTTTTCAACAAGTGCCTTAAATTTCTTAAAAATTCCGTACACCTCTGATTTTTGTTTAAGAAAATACAACCATATTTTTAGGCTAAAATCATCAATGAATAATAAAAAATAATTATTGTTACCAAATGATGATAGAGAAATTGGACCACAAACATTCAAGTGGATAAGTTGTAGTGAAGCCATAGCTCTTATGGTAGCTTCTTTAGGAAAAAATTCCTTAATTGCTTTCCAACAAGACATACTTCACATAATTGATTTGGATTGCTAATGAAAGGCAATCCCTTCACCATCTTCTTTTTGGCCAACAACTCTAGTCCTCCAAAATTCAAGTGTCCAAGTCTCAAGTGCTAAAGCCAAGTTAAATCATTAAAATAAGTCTTCAAACATTTAGCCTCGCCAGCTTGAATATTTAACAAAAACATTCGATTCTTTGTCATTGGAACCTTAGCAATCAAATTACCTAATAGGTCTCTTATCGAAAGACTACAATATTTCATGGAAATATTGTAGCCTTTTGCTAAGAGTTGTCCCAAACTCATAATATTGTTTTCATGTTAGGCACATAATAAACATTAGAGATAAATTGATGATGGTCATTCCTCATACGAATCAATATTTTACCTTTCCCTCTTACCAGAATTTGTGATAAGTCTTTAAATGTCACCTTGCCATTTATTCATTCATCAAGATCAACGAACTTCTCTTTGCTACCACACATATGGTTGCTAGCATCGGTGTCAAGATACCACACATCTTTTTCACTTTTTTCACCTTTGTATGCTAACAACAAAGTAGGCTCTACTTCTTCATTAACATAATTAGCCTTTTCTTCAACAACGTTAGCAACATTTCTACATTCCGAAGCATAATGACTATACTTTTGACAATTGTAACATTGAATTTGAGACTTATCATACCTCCTTCCATATGACCTTAAGTAACTTCCTCTACCATGACCTCTTGTTTGTTGTGAGTCATGGCTTTTTTCTTCATTATTGGTTGTGTGTTGACTGCTTCTTTCTCCTCTTCCATGGACTCTTCCTCTTCCTCGGCCACGTGTATTTCCACATCCTTGGCCCCTTTGATTTCCCCCATATTTTTCGTCTCTTTCGTTCAACGAAAACTTTGTTTGTACCACTTGCTTGTTTCTTTACCACTTTTTCTTTATGAGCTTGCAATGAACCCATGACTCCAAATCCTTTAACTCTTCAATGGCTATAACAATGTAGTTGAATTTGGAATCCAACGACTGAAGGATCTTTTCAACGACCCTTATATCACTCATGGTGGTTTCATTATATCTCCTTAGTTGATTTACAATTGCCAGGACCCTAAAAAAATAATCTGAAATTGATTCAGATTTATTCATATGAAATACTTCAAAGTTACCCCATAACGTTTGAAGGTGAACCTTCTTCACTTTATCAACTCCTTGGAAGGAATTTTAAAGAATCTCCTATAGTTGCTTTGCATTTTCTGCACTAACAACTCTTTGTAGCATTCCATCATCCAAACATTGATGGATGGTCATCACCGCCTTTTGGTCATTTTTTCTCATGGATTGTAAAATATCTTTTTCGGTTTGAGACAAAGTTGCCTCATCTTGTGGCTCATCATAACCTTTGGTAACAACTTCTCACACATCTTGTGCTCCCAAAATTGCCTTCATACGGATACACCAATTTTCATTGTTATCTTTGTTGAATCAAGGCATTTGAAATGGAACCGAATTGTTTGCCA